CGCAGTGTACCCTAATCTCGTTCTCTCGCTTGCAGCAGCCTTTCCCACCGCGGTATCCCGGAACAGGAAAGTCCCAGTTCAGCTTTCCCCCATAAGATCCTGTCTCCCCCCTCCCGCTCTTCTCCCTCTGCCCCTTCCTGCCTCTGGCCCTGGCGAGAGGAGCTGCTTCTCTCCCTGCGGGACGGGGCTGAGCCACTCGGGGCAGCCGCCGAGGCGGCGGGGAATGGGGACGGGGCTCAGGGGACCATCCGGCCAGGCTCAGCCTCCAGCCCTGAGCCTGCAATCCCGTGCCCGGCGGACAGGGTTGCCTTGAGCAGGCAGGGTTGAGCCGAGATCCTGAAATTAGCGTGTGTGGGTTTTTTTCCCCTCCACTTTCCACACCCCTCTCCCTTCTCCCCCTTCTTCTCTCCTCTCTTCTCTTCCCTTGGTGCTTCCTAAGAGCCCGTAAGGTCTGCAGCGAGAAAGACTGGGGGAGGAGGAAGAATTAAGGCAGGGAAAAGATGGCGAGTTGCAGGAGCAGCGTGGAGAAAGCAGCGTTTTTGTGCTGCTGCTTGCTGGCAATGGGGAGCCTAACCTTCTGCGCCCGGCCGGAGGAGGAGGAAGAGCAAGAAGAGCAGCGCTCCTGTCACGGTGCCTTTGATCTCTACTTCGTCCTGGATAAGTAAGTGACAGTCGCATTTAAAAACGTTTATTCACCCTTCAGTGCCTCCTTGCAGCAGCAGGGACGTTATTTCCCCAGTCTCCCCGGGTGCCTTCCCTCACCTTCCCTGGTGCCAAACATGATGTGAAGGGCAGGGTCCTTATTTTTGCTCCCCAAAACTTGCGCGTTTCCCAGGCAGAGCATTCAGGGGAGCAGTATGCTTTATCCTCGGTTAGTTACACATGCGAACCTGGGAAATGAGAGCACCTTCAGGTTGTGGTGTGTGGGCTGTGAGCATTGAATTTGAAGGGGTGTTGGTCAGCGTCCCCAGCACCACTAGACTTTGGTGTTAAGACTCAGGCTAAGTGCTGAGATGTCACCTGTGGGATTTAGCAGCACCAGGGCTGTGCAGACCTACTTAAAGTTAAGGCTAGATTGCGTGTATGTAGTGGCTGTTTTTTTACAGACTCGATGTAAAGTTTTATGGAGCTTGTTTCTGCTCAACTTCTTCGGAATTGTCTAAATCTGTGTTTGAGTTACATCTATTAAAATAGGTTGGCAAATAACAGGTTGGTTCTTTAATACTGTGTTAGCCCAATTTAGGTATGGCCAGAGGGTATGGTTAAGCTCACATTCATAGGCATGTTATAGCAAGCACTAGCAAAGTAATTGGTAAACTGGTGTGCACACAGGTGATTTTCAGAAGGCACAAATTTCTCTTCCTCATGGTGCATTGCTCTGGCTTGACAGCCAAGGGTTGTACTCAAAGAATAAATTATTAGTCTTCCACATATACTCAGTGTGATGGCTGTGTTATCTAATAGATCCTGGGTTGTATATGCGGTATGATATTATGAAAGACTGAAGCCTTTTCTTCATGATCTTTGCCCATAAGCCTGGTGTGATGGCTGTACTGTGCAGTTTCCTGGGTGGGAGAACTGTTCAGTCCATCAGGCCTCCTGCACAGCCTGAGAGAGGCAAAAAGCCACAATCCCTCAGGAGCTTGTATATTCCCATATTCAAGAACAAGAAAAAAAGAGTCTTTAATAGTGGTTTTGGTTTTATAGCAAAAGGATCTGAAGACCAAAGGCATTATGCCTTTCTGAAAGATGCACTAACACCATGTGGTCGTTGTTTTGTTTTCTTACACTAAGAGCTTGTTCCTGAAGTAACCTTCATGTCTAGAAAGAGCTCTGGGAGGGGGACAGTGTTAGTTCTCAAATTCATTCTTGCCAGGCTTTCAAGAAGTGATTGGTACTGTTGTTATGCTCACTTCCCATGTCGAATTCCCCTGTAACAATAGATGTTAGTGAATGCAATACAGGTTCTCTCTGTGACACAGTATCTGTCTTCTGCAGTGCAATGTCTTTGTTTGCAATGGCTCTGTGTACCCCTAGCAATCACCACACTGCACTCCTATGCTACTTTTGTGTTTGGGGAAATCAAGGTAGAGAAGAGAGTGATTTGCTCAGTTACTGATATGTCAAGCAATAGGAAGCTGGTTGTGTAAGCAAGTTCCTCTTCAGTATCGTAGACAGGAAATCGTATGTTTTCTTTTAGCTGTGGGTCTTGTGTCTTGGCTCAGGTGCTATCAACTCAGTACAGTTGTCTGCTGGAGACCAAACCTGGTTATGATCGGAGTAAGTCATGCACTTCAGTTCCAGTGGGAAAATTGTCTTTGGCTTCAGTTGCACACTTAGTGTTTATAACCTTTGAGAGTTTTACCAAAGAGTTCCTCTTTGGTAAAAAGCTGTAGTAAAAGTTACTTGGGCCCCTGGGTGGTTTTAGAATCCGTCCCTGTTCCTACCAAGTCTGTGGCAAGGTGGTGGCAAAGCATCTTTTGGTCCCAATGAGATTGCATTGCAGGCCATATGGGTAATATTAGAGTGCCAGATCTGAGGAAGCATAGGTCCCATGCTACCTTTCTGCTGTAACCAAATGCATGTGGTACCTGGAGGCAGAGGAGCCGGCTGAGGGTGTATTTGGTCCCGGTTGTATTCTGTGACATCTGGCACAGCACAAGGAGCTTTATGGAAGCAGGGAGGATTAACTGAGTGGACAGACTCTGGATCTTGGGATAGTTAATCAGGAAGGAACTAGATAATCCATTAGTGTTGAGAAGGGTTAGGGTATTCCTGGTAGGGAGAAGGCAGGAAGCCAGTGAGAAGCAGCTGGTCAAAACTGAAAATGCAGTGGAGATATATATATATGTGTATGTATATATATATTAGAATTGGATCAATTCTGATACATATCTGGGAAGAATTCTGGCTCTAATTTCTAATGGGAGAATCCCCAGAATAACCCAGCCCTATAAATCACAGAGTATCCCCACGTGGCCTGGGGATTGTCTCCCTTCATTGGTGCCTTGCCAGTCTGGAGTTCGATGCATTCAGACTTAATTAGCTGTCTAACAATGGCATTGAAGTCTTGGCTCTGTAAAAACTCCAGGCTTTAATCCCGCGACCCTGTAGCATGCTCTTTAGCAGAATGACAGGCCCTGTCTCTAAAGTCGGCCTGGGTGAACCAAAATGACTTTAAATCTGCTTTGCTTTGGTTCCCCATAGGAAGATGTAATCTCACATCAGTAGGAGGCAAATTGGAAGAAGACAACAAACCTTTCTCCTTATGCATGTAAGCACTATGTGTTACTGCAATGACTTTATTGGGGTATGATTTTTCCTTTTCATTCTGCCAGGCAAAGTCTGTGGAGATTTAATCCTGCAGGCAACAACCATGAGATGGAAAAAATCATCTGCTGGTGAAGTTATTGGTATAATATATATGCTGCCAATTAGAAAAAGAAACTCTCTGTTTTCTTACAATTTTTATCTGCTTGAAGTTGACTGCAGCTTTTTATGTTAACTTCATGGGATAGGCAAGGTCACAGCAGTGGAACTAAGCCTTGGATGCTGAACAAGCTGGCATGGTGAAAGGGAAAAGCAGCATGTGTGGAAGGGAGACCTGCTACCATATTCCTTAGATTTATCTGACTGTGCCAGAGCCACATTAGGACAGCCTTGTCTCGGGAGATGCTTAAATGAGCAAATCTCTTGACGCTACAAGAACTGGACACTTGCTGGCTGCAGAGGCAACTGCCTAGAGTCTGTAATCTTGTGCTGTCTCTACTTCATACTTTGAGTTAGGCAGGCTTGAGCTTATTTAGAGGTATAGTGGAAAGCTTTAAAGTATCATATTGAAGCAGCAGAAATTTTTCTGCTTGCAGCTAAGTCACTCCCTGTACACGAAGTAAGGGGGTATGTTGTGGAGTTGGCATACACATCTCTCCTATGGCATGTGGCAAGATCAAGCCACATGTGATACCGAAGATCTTTTGTTTACCTTTAAACAAGCATAGCTCTTAAGTCCAACATAATTAACAGCTGAGTACTTTTCACTTGCTTGGGTTGCTGCTTTTGCTTTGGCTGTCCAGGTGCATGAAAATCCTTTTTCCAGTTCCGTCTCAAACTGCTGAGGGCAGGTCCTCCTAGGGATTTGATTGCTTCACTGTGTAGGTCTTGTAGTGACATCCCCTTGCTTGAGTGTGTAAATAACTCCCTTTCATCTCTGCTTTGCTGTTAACATCCAGCTGTTGTTTGTAATCATATTGAAATGCACTTGCATAGCAGGAAGAATGACTGACCTCTAGTGTTTCCTGATTATAATAGTGCATGGTAGCATCGTTATGATTGTTTGTTAGTGCAACAAATAGAAACCCTTTTAAAATAAGGACTTATAACAGTCATAAATATCTGCTCCTGGAGATGCTTGACATGGTAGATCTGAGCTGCAGAGCTGTCTGTATTTTATATTTACCAAGTATGAGGAAATTTCGTTGATTATTTTTTCACTCTAGGATAGGATGGGAAATGGGAGGGGAGGGGGAAGGGAGAAGAATGTGAGATAGTCAAAAGTATTTTCTCATTTTTCCTGCTGGGATATTTGCTAAGAAACTGTTTGGATTTTGAGGAAAAATGAACTGCACAGCCTTGGGAGAATGTTTTCTTTTTCCACAGCACAAAGCATGGCAGTGCAAATGTTTAGAGTAAGGCTCACTCTTGCTGATTTTCTTTTAGAGCAGTGATTCTAACTTTTTCTTTGGGGGAGACTGGCCTCACTACCCTTTCTCCACTCCTCATCTTCCCCCTGAACTTCTGGTCTTCATGGTGTTCTTTGTTTTGGGCCTATAATACTGTCTTTCACATCAGTTTTGCTTTGTCTCCTGTGGTCCCAAGAGCATCTCTGTCAACAGCAACTTTGGTAAAGGCATCAGTACAACGTGGCCAGTCACGCCTTCTCACTTGTAATCCATTTTCCAGCTGCCTTCCTTTAAATTTTCTGACCCTCGCTCCAGAGGTGAATGTCGCTGGTAGGATGGTGGTGGTGAAGAGCATAACCTCTGATTACATGGGAATTTAGCTACCTTGTTCCATCTTCTTCCTGGTTTTGGTTTTTGGGTCCCTGTCCAACACCTCCCTCCCCACCAACTTCCCCTCGAAAAGCTAGTTTTGTGGGGGAGGGGGGTGTTGGGCAGGAAGCCTGTTGATACTTCCTAATCCAGTTAAGGCAAGACAAAAAGCCATCAGAACAAGAGGCATTTCAGTAGCTGCTCTTCTGGACCAGCTTTTATAATTTTAAGGCAACTATGGTGAATTGCTGAACTCCATATGCCTTGGGTTTTTTTCACAATATGCCACATTTGAAGCAAAGGTGTTTGTGAAATGGGTTTTTTTGTGTCTCTTCCCCCACCCCTGATGATTTCCTTGCCATGGATGCCTTTCCTTTTGAATGAATTCAGCACTCATTAAGCAGCTATTTTTTGCCTTAGCCTCTCACTATAGCCTTTTGCCTTTCTTCCCTCATCCACATAGTCCCAGCTCAAGAGTGTTAGGATGGAGCTGGACCTGTGGGAACTTCTGCAGCTTGTCTCCGCACTCTCTCGATCCAGTACCATTCTGCCTGGTGGTATTATGCTGCGTATGAAGAGGTGAAAAGCGTGGCTAACAACATTGTTGTAGTTG